TGTATCAGTGTACTCGTCGGGCCCAATGCCAGTGGCTCCCCTTGTTCTTCTTCGGGATTCTCCTCAAGCATCCCATGACCCACTAGGGCTTGATAAAAATGTAATCCTTGTTGATCATCATCCATGGTGACTGCATGAGGGCGCAAGAATAAGTCATGTTTTGATTATTCCTATAGTATATTTTAATTATATAGGTTTGGGTTCCCTAGAGTTATTGGAGAGTGAGGTAGGCTTTTGGATTCATTTCCCGCTATAATTACTCCCAAACACATGTTGGTCATATTTTGAATAAATATAGTTGATCAAGCTATATTTATCCCTAATAGGACTACATAACTGCCTAGGTTTAATCATAGTGTTCAATTTCCTCCAGAAGCTTTTATTATGTATTATTAGGTTATTATCCTAATATGTGCATATAAGTGTGAAATTTTTGTTTTGTTCAAAGTTATTTAGTCCCATTGTATTTATAGTTGCATATCATGTATGGTTAGATATGCTAGTTTACTATAAACATTGCTCTGATACCAACCTGTCACACCCCCGAACCAGACGTCGGAAACGTCATGGGGCTCGTGTGACTAACAATTGAATTATCATCATAATGAATATACATGAAACATAACACATTCATCACCAACATTATATATGTTGACCGTTTTCAAAATAAATTGTATTCTCAGGTAATCGTTAAGCATGAAGATTTTCAAGTGTGTATGGATTATTTTTGTGTAACATTCACTCAACGTACTATTAATACTTTGAATTTATGTATTCTATAACAATGTACTTGATGTGAACAATGCTGGTTGTGATATGTAATGTTGGTGATGAATGTGTTATGTTTCATGTATATTCATTGTGATGACAATTCAATTGTTAGTCACACGAGCTCTCGGACGTTTCCGCTGTCTGGGGGTGTGTGACAAACTCAGGGAACAAATTTAATTAACTAATTTAATTACTACTAAATTAATCTAGAAACAAGCAAAAGTTAATTTGGTTTCTATCCGATTTTGCAATTTTAGACAAACTTAATCACTCAACTATCAAATTCAATCAATTACTAAAAACACTTCTATTTAGTTTAAACCACTTCTCCTTTACGGTTAGCTACTAATTAGGGATAACTCACGTTGGTTACAAATTATTATATTATTAGTAATTTAAGTTCAAATTTACTAATATTTAACTAAACATGTAAAACTATGCATGATACACATAATCAATTATGGATTATGCATGGAGTTAGGAAAGATTTATTAAAATTTATAACGTTTGTAAGGATGTAGGTGATAAACCAAAAATTGATGAGTAAGGGCTTCACTTTTTTTTTTTTTGTTTTTTTTTTTTATTTTTAATAATAACATTTATTCTCGAAGTCTTATTATATCCATGATGGAGGTAGCTAAATTATATAAAAGTTGTAAACATGTTAAAGACTTCATTTGCATCTACTTACTATATATTACTTTGAGATAAATATATAGTTAAATCTCAATGGTGATCAAAGTATATATATATATATATATATATATATATATATATATATATATATATATATATATATATATATATATATATATATATATTACTATATTATTATATAAACCATGTTATTTTTAAAAGTAGATTTAAGATGTCCAAATGTTTAAACTGAATGTACAACAAACTATTTATATAATATTATAATTTAAATTGTCCACATAACTCTTATTGACATTTATTTTAAGGTAGTAATTATTTACGGAAAAGAACTAATTTCTTTAGAAACTATTTATACCCATCGTTTGACGCGGGTAAACGACTAGTATGTATGTATGTGTGTGTGTGTATATATATATATATATATATATATATATATATATATATATATATACACACACACTAGGTGTGAGACCCATGTATTACATGAGTTTATTTAAAAAAAATTAAATATGAAATTTTAACAATTTGAGAAGTTTGAATTTATAAGAAAAATGAGAAAAAAATTAAATTATTTAAATTAATGAGACTTTAATACATTGAATACATTAAATGTGAAATTTTAATACATTGAATACATTGAATACATTACATATATCAATCATTTCTAATAAATACTTTACATATATATTATCTTACATAATAAATGTGGAATCTTAATTTAATAAAATGAAAAATACAATAAAATGACAAGTGAAAAATAGAAAATTCAAAAATTAAAGAAAATGCTATGTGTCTAAATAAAAGAGAAGAGGACACATGGTAAAAAAACCTTGATTTATTAATGAGGATATATATATATATATATATATATATATATATATGTGTGTGTGTGTGTGTGTGTGTGTGTATGTGTGTGTGTGTAAGGAAAATAAATAAACTATATAAAAAACCAAAAATAAAGTTTAAAAACCAAGTGTGTAATTTTTTTTACAAACTATAGGAACCAAATTTGAACTTTAAACCAAATATTAGGATTAATTTTGTAAAAAATATAATAGAGTTAACCATGAAACCCGTTAAGTGAGCTTGAATGATAACTTTATAAGAAAGTTGTGACCATAACAATAATAGAAAAAATTAGGATTTTTTCAATTACCCGTTAAAAACTTAGGACTTTTAGCTTGAACGGTGTGGGCAACCGCCACATCCGTTTTTCTGATGTGGACACCCTCCTATCATGCCAAACACCGCCCCCACCATTTCGTTTTCGTCCGTTATGAGCCTCGACATTACCCTTCGTTGCTCTTATAACGATTGCTCCTATAACGATTGATAACGCAGTGAACGGTTGATTTTTTGACCGTTAAAGAACGGCTAACATTTATAAATAAATAACCTTTTTTATTTTACCTATAAGTACATATACAAACATAATATTTTAACCACAAACTTTTCTTATCTTCATCTTCATTCTATTATCAAGTTTCACAAAAAGAACCACTTTTCCTTTCAATCAACTATGGAAACCCAAACACATCTATACTGATGAGTTTTGCACAATACGAAAGTTATATGAACCTGATCACCTCAAACTCACCCCCAATGCATTTTCCTACATCTCCTTACATGCAACAAAACCCAAATCTTTAACAAAACATTTTTAGTTCTTTCAATTACATGTAACAAACAACCATACAAACACCACCCACACAACCACCACCAGAAATTAATCCTGAAACACAAGCGTGAGGCAATCAGAAAGATAGAGGGAAAGGAAAAGGGAAAAGGAAAGGGAATGAAGTCGCAGATACGGAAGAACCTCCATTATGGTGGATACCGGAGGGGGAGTGCTTTGATGGTGGCATGATGTGAGACTTCAAAGAATCCAACCATAGGAAATGATATGCAAAGAGTAGGGTTTTGGAAAGTCATGCTCAACAAATTCCACACACTTATGAAGAAACAACCATATCAGAATATCCACATGCTTAGCAGCAAATGGACTTCGATCAGTCGCCGGTGCACCAAGTTTAATGAGATTTTCATGAGACTAGAACTGTAAAGGCAAAGTGGTGCGAATAAATTTTGATGTTTACAAAGTCGCGAGGGAACAATACCAAGTGGAAATGGGGTACACTTTCAAGTTTGAAAAAATATAGGAGATTGTTAGGCTAGATCCAAAATGGAATAAGATGCTAACATCGGGGGAGGCACAATCAAAGAGGCTCGCAATTCTAGTTCCTTTGACATTTCCGATGCACGAACGAACGTTGACCTTAATGCAGGCATGTATGATATCCCCAACGACGTCGAAGAGATCTCCCCTCACGTCGACTGGTCGGACGCGACAAAGTGAAACGTGCTTAACGTGACGCATATGATAGAAGGGCACAAGAGTTTGCGGAAATGAAAGCAAAGTTCAACCAACACAATCTGATTGCTCAATAAAATGTTGAGGTGCAAAGTGAGAACTTTGAGTTTATTCGTAAGCAAACGGAGAAAGATCAAATAACGAAGGATTTAACAATTCTCCATACCAGCGAAGCAAATATGAGACTACAAGAAGTGCTAGTGCTGCGAAAGATGAATGAGAAAATCGAAAGATAATATTTGGGTGACTAGTTGATAATTTTTAGTTTTTAAGACAATTGTTTGTTTGTTTGTTTGTTTTTGTTTTTTTTGCATTCAACGTTGTGTGTGTGTTTTTTTGGTGTGTAATGTTTTTTTTATGGTTATAAAAAAATATAATGAAGAAAAATACAATCAAAAAATAAATAAATTAAAAAAAGAAAAAAAAAGGAAAAAAAATAAATAAGAAATGATATCATCGAACCTTAAAGATGTTATAACTAGTTTCCTATTTTTTCTATTTGGTATTATAACATGACATGTGAGAACACCTCTTAACTAATATTATACACATGATATTAGTTTTGACAACTAAATCAGTTCCATATTTGGCAATGCAAGAGAAGCTAGAAGACAAATGAGATTATATATTAGTGTTTGTTTCTTGATTTGTTGTGTGAAATTTTTCTAAAAAATTATGTGTTTAGACTTTTATTTAATAAATTCAAAACTGAATCTTAATCGTAATAAACAAGAAATGATAATCAAAAGACAATATCCAGTTCACAATCAAGATTTAACAAAATAAAAAAGTAGTAAAATACTTAAATTCTGATATATAAACTAAATACTAAATACCCTATTTATTATTACTAAAAATTCAGGGACAACAATGAATACACCATTTATTGCTATTTTTTACCAACTATAATAATTATTCTTGTTTTTTACGAAACATGATTAATTTCAACTTAGTATAAAAAAATAAAATTAATAACAAAAAGAAAATATAATTTTACTAGTTTATAAATAAAAAGCTATAGTCAAAATTCACAAATACTTAAATAAAAGATCAAAAAATCACAAAGTCTGAAACCTGTCCAAGCATTTTGAAATTCGAACCATTGACTCTGGTTAAGCTGAAAACCATTTTGACTTTTGACTTTTTTGTGTAAATAAGATTAAAAGGGTCACTTGATACAGAGCTCTCTCTCTCTCTCTCTCTCTCTCTCTCTCTCTCATGGTTGTTGATCTGTATTCATTATTGAAGGTTGGAAAAAAGTTGTCATTTCGGACGTTAGCTGTAACGCCAATTGTTTCTAGCGATCTTCTCACTGTGATCACATCCTTCTCTTTATAAATTTTACACCAAACGGTTTGATTTTTGAATTTTACACTGTTCTGTTAAATGGGTGCTTGTTATTCAACAACAGGCAACACCCGGAGACATAAAAAACAAGATGAAGGCGATGAAGATGATGATGGATGGTGGAAATCGAAGCGTGGTAGTAAGATTAATCGAACATCCACCGATTTTAAGTTCGTGTTCGGCGGCAGTGTGGAGGAACGACTGCTCCACCATGTTCCTGGTAGGCTTTTCGGTAATGGCTCCTGCAGTATCGCTAGTTTGCATACGCAACAGGGCAAGAAAGGCACCAATCAAGACGCCATGATCGTTTGGGAGGTTTGTTTTTCGCCTTGTATTTACTGTAGCAATTCAATTCGTGACATAAGGGTTAGATTGTGAATTAGGGTTTATTAACAAAATGATTAACAATTAGGGAAATTTATGTCAATTTGTGAGTTTTTGGTTGGAATTAATAGAGGGTGTCAGACGCCATCTGTGGACCAAAAAAACTAAATAATCCCATACGCCACTAACAACACCATCATCTCTACATGAAAAGATCGATCTTTAGCTTAAAAACATGTTTTTCTTTAGCTCAATGAATATGAAACTCGATAGATAACACATGCAATTAAATTATCAGCAATCTTCGTGTCTTTTGAGTTAATCTATGATCTTGAGAATACTTTTGGAACATTTGTAATTCAGAAATTCAACTCAAATAGTGATGCAGTCTTCTGTGGAGTATTTGATGGACATGGGCCTTATGGTCATATGGTTGCTAAGAAAGTTCGTGACTCACTTCCTGTTCTCTTATCCACTCAATGGATGGATACCAATACAAATACCACTAACACCAATCAAATTTCTGATAATGAGAACATGAATACCAATGAAAGCATACCTGAAGAGGAACTATTTGAAGAATATTGGTGTGAACAATCAGATGTTGAAGAAAAAGAAACAATCCCAGAAAAGTATTTGCCCCTTAAAAAGTCTATACTCAAATCTTTCAAGTTAATTGACAAAGAACTCAAGAACCATCCATCTATTGACTGTTTCTGCAGTGGAGCAACTGCTGTTACTATGATCAAGCAGGTGGATTTTTTGTCAAAATCTCAAAACCCAATTTCAATAATCCACTAAAAAACAATCTTTTTATTCAATTGATAAAAAATACCTAATCTTTCAGGGTCAAGATCTTGTAATTGGAAATGTCGGTGACTCAAGAGCAGTGTTAGCAACTAGAGATGAACACAATTCATTAGTTCCAATCCAGTTGACCGTTGACTTGAAACCTAATCTCCCAAGTAAGGTGTCCTTTTATTTTCATCATTATGTAATGTGTGTGTTTCTTTTCTAGACCGAATAAACTGTCTGAATGAGTTTTTTTTAAACAACAACGATGTGTATAACGAACTGTCCATATTAAGTGCTTAAACCATTAAGTGAAAAAGAACCAATTATTTATTTTATTTGGTTGGTGTTCAGGAGAAGCAGCTAGGATCCAGCAGTTTAAAGGAAGGGTGTTTGCATTGCAAGATGAGCCAGATGTTTCACGCGTATGGCTACCAAATAGTGACTCACCCGGTTTAGCAATGGCTAGAGCCTTCGGGGATTTCTGTTTAAAAGACTTCGGTTTAATTTCAGTCCCTGACATTTTTTATCATCGGATTACTGAAAGAGACGAGTTTGTGATCCTTGCAACTGATGGTGTGAGTAACCTTATTTTTTTCTCTTTAACTTCTCAGTAAGTCAACTAACTGAAAAATCGGCAAATCCAATGTTATTAGCTCACTTCCCAGTTGCTGCATGATGAGTTGGGGTTATCACATCATTAGTTGATGCCAACTCATCATGCCCCACCAAACGCCATGCGAGATGGTAACTAGGAAGTGACCTGATGATAACTAGGTAGAGGTTACTAGGTCACTTCCTGGTTACAACATGATGAGTTGACATTATCATATCATGAGTTGATGTCAACTCATCATGCCCCACCAAAGCCATGTGAGGTAGTAACTGGGAAGTGACCTGATGATGATACTCAGGTAAAGGTTACTAGGTCACTTCCCGGTTACCACATGATGAGTTGGCATTATCACATCATTAGTTGATGCCAACTCATCATGTCCCACCAAAGTGCCACACGATATGGTAACTGGGAAGTGGGAAGTGACCTGATGATATCATCAGGTAAAGGTTACTAGGTCACTTCCCGGTTACCACATGATGAGTTGACATTATCACATCATTAGGTGATGCCAACTCATCATGTCCCACCAAAGCGCTACGCGATAGTAGATAAGGTGGCAACCGGGAAGTGATAGACCTGAGGTAAAGGGTCAAATTTGGAAATATTTGTTTAGAGGGGTGGTGAAAATGAAAAATGAAAGTATGTTGTTGTTTTTGAGATAGGTATGGGATGTGTTATCGAATAAGGAAGCGGTAGAGATTGTGGGTGCAGCCCCTAGCCGGTCAACCGCAGCCAGAGCACTTGTTGACTGTGCCACAAGATCATGGAAGCTCAAATACCCAACTTCTAAAACCGATGATTGTGCTGCTGTTTGCTTATTTCTTCACCAAAATCCCAAAACTGTCACAAAAAAAACAGATGTTGATGAAGCTGAAGCTGAAGCTGAAACTGTTGTTGATTGTAGTGAGATTGTGGTTGTTGATAATGAAAAGGTGGCTGAAAAGAGTGTTGTAGGAAGGTCGCAAAGGAGTTTGGCTGAATGCATATCCACATCTGAAGATGAAGAATGGTCAGCTCTTGAAGGTGTGACACGTGTCAATAGTTTGCTCAGTATTCCTAGATTTTTGTCGATTGATAAAAGATCGGCAAGTTGGAGGAAATCTGGTTCCAAGATTTGAAATTTTAATGCAAACAATTGCACATCGGTTTTCAAGAATAAGATTAATGTATATTTCTCTTTTCGATTTTTTTTTTTTTTTTTTTTTTTTTTTTTTTTTTTTGTATGTAATGTTGTTGAACAAAAAGAGAACTCTAAATTTTGTTGGTGATGTTAATTTTAGGACCTGAATCTAGATAAACACAGTTTTTATTTATTTTGTTCCTTTCTCATTAATTTGGAATCCTAATAATCATTACGATCAACAATCTATAGAGTAAAAAGAACGAACATATTTTTAATCGAAGACCAATTTAGAAAGATGATCTATATATTTTTTCTTGACAAATCATTAGTCATGGGTAAATCTAAAATGACATTATACCCAAAAAAAAAAAAATTCTATCATTTAAACCTAACCGTTGAACGAAAAAAAAAGCCATCTTTTACGGTTTACACACAAAAAAATATGGTTTGTGTGTTCAAAAAGGGAAAATGACTTATAAGGGTAAGAATGTTTTAAAAACATTCAAAAAAGACCATTATAGTTTTGTATATTTAAAAAATACCATCCAACTAAGGTTTTTATACGGAAAAACACCAACATAGTGTTTCTTTTGTTCAAATGTTACCTATGGTAACCGGCAAGTGTAGGTTAACTTTTTAACTTTTAGAGTTTACCTGTGACAATGAAAAAATAAATGACATGGACCTTTACAACCTGATATGTTCGATTAAGGGAGCGTACATGGATTAAGGGCTTTTCTATTTAGCTTCGTCAATGAGAGGAACAACTACAGGAAGAGAGTGAAGAATCGTCTAGGGTTCAGTGAAGAATCGTTAGTGTTCGATCGTTCATTAGTGCATCCAACATAATGTGAAGCCGATTTCTTTCTACAACCGAATATGTTCGTCTTCATGTAAGTTGTAGTCTCATCTTGAATCGATTTCTATTCTAGATTGTGAAGAAATGTCTGTAGGGTTTATGTAATTTTTTGATTCTTTAAATACTCATTAAGATGTAGTTAAATTGTTAAGGTGTAGGTTTAGTTCGATTTTTAAAGATTTTTCCTAGTCCACATACGACTTGTGATGTCGTTGCTAAAGCTTCTAAAAAACTCAGATTATGGTATTTTTTCGATGGTTTTAAGTTTGTTAAGTTGTAGTTTGAGTTTAATTACAAGTGGTCTTGAAAGTAAATTGTTGTAATTAGTATTAATGTGAACTGAGGGCATAAAGGTCTTGAAAGTACATTGTTGTAATTAGTATGTCATTTTAGCATATGTTAAGTTTATATATTGTCTTTCTCTCTAATGTGATTATGTGACTTGCTAATCTTTGGCTTTGACTTTTGCAGTGCTTAAACCTTTAACAACTTGACTTTGACTATTTTCAATGTTGTTCACTTATTCTCAACAGATGGTGCGCTTAGTATAGATGTTTATCACAATGAAATGTTTAGCCTTTGATTTACTTCAATTCTGATAAGAAATCTGTTACGGGGGTGGACTTACGAAACATGGAGTTCAAGGAATTCATTATCTATATCCGGAATTTGATAAGGGATAAATAACCAAAAAACATTGACATCATTTAATTTAGACCAAAACTATTTCAATCTAACATGCTTTTCAATCTCTAATATTTGGTTATTTTCAGATTGTTTGTATGTTTGTTAAAAGGGATAAGATTTTTCTACCTAAAAAAATGTTTCAACATCTTGTTCCACCTCTGGCATGTTGATACATAATATGTCAAAAAAAAAAAAAAAAAAAATTAAACAATTCAAATTGTTAACAAGGCAAAATGAACAATTCGAAAATTTTTATTTTCGAGGCTAACTAGAAAATTTCCAACTAATAGAAAGTTTGTAAATTTCCAAAATATGCCACAATAGACAAAAAACTTAAGTAATTAATGCAATAAAAGATAGTCATGAAAGTATGATGTTATCGTATAAAAATAAATTAAAGTACATTGTTATTTTTTTATTTAACTGTGAATTAAATGATCAAAACCACGATGACTGTGTTGGTCATTTACGCATTGTAAGTTTTCAATCTAGATTCAGTATAAAAGACTTCCGAAAACCAAAAATAATGCAAAAGTAGTGATAAATGACCGAGTAATGGGAGAATCAACACCTACAAAAGAAATCAGATAACCATTTGAAACGATTCATTAAAAAACATATTTTTTTTGTGTGAAATTAGAGTTAGCAATTCGAGTATTTCATGTCATGTCTACACTCCAAAATTGTGGACAATCAATTTGGGAATTTTGAGAACTAAGAATGGAAATTTTTGATTTGGTAGAAAGTTAAGGATTACCATATGACCAAACTACCCCTGCACTCAAATATGACATAAACGGTTTTGTTTTGTATGTTTGTAACCAAACTGTCCCTAGCAACTGCTTTAGGGTCTTTTTCTTTTTCTTCTTTTTAATTGATAAAAGCTAACTGTGACCAAACTACCCCTACACTCAAATATGGCACAAACAGTTTTTCTTCCATCCAGTTACATCATCTGCAACAACTTATACAGGGGCTGTTTGGTATATATATATATATATATATATATATATATATATATATATATATATATATATATATGTGAGGTTAGTTTGGTATATGTCAATTTGGTATTATACACGGGCCTCTAAATAATGTCATTTATACAAACCCGATGTCAAAATATCCGGTTAGATTTCATTTTTGTATATCTTATGTCTTTTGTGAGGTTAATTTGGTTCCAAATTAGATAATAAAATTAGCCTCAAATTATATAATGAAGCAGTAGAAGAAATGCAGGAGAAGAAAAAGTCTGCGTTCCTTTCCTTGTAGCCCTAATCTGAATTTGAAGAAGACAAAAAAAAAAAGGCCATGTCATCCATTCCAATACCATGTTACGCCACCTCATCAATTTTTAATCCAACTCATCTTATAACCCATAACAACAGCTTACCATTAGGTTGGATTTGAACAAACTTAAACTTGGCTGGTATTTTTAATACAATCACTTTAGTTTGATGTATTTTTTGAAAATACAAAACTACAATGGTCTTTTTTGAACGTTTTTGAAACATCCTTACATTTATAAGTCATTTTCCCGTTAAAAATGCTAGCATATCATGGTTTATATCTTTATAAGAAAGCCATCTTTTACACACAAAAAAAGTATGGTTTATGTGTTCAAAAATGTTAGCATATCATGGTTTATATCTTTATGGCATCAGTATTTGTCATTGATTCGTTAATTAAAAAGTTTTTGGGCACTGTTTAGTTGACTGATTTTTTGGATCTGGTTGGTTAAAGTTGATTGATTTTGTGTATTGTTGATTGTTAGCAACTGTATCCATTTAGGTGGTGAAAAAGTATGCGTATTCAAGTTATTTTATGATAGATTGTTCCACGTTTGAGCCAATTCCAAACGTTTTGTGGCTCCATGCCTCATGTATTTTCTTATATTATGTCTCGTTTCATGATGACTTTCCTTGTTATACTTGAGTTTATCTTGTAAGCAGAAAAACGTCATTCTTTTTCATATTCAAAAACTTTAGAATGCTTATAAAGAAATGGCTCCTCCTATGCTGAAGTATTTGTCTACTACAACATCCACTACTAGAAAACAGAGTGGATTCCTACGGAAATTAGTGACGAAATTTCGACGGAATCGTGACAAAAATAAAAACCCTAATATTAGTGACGGAATACTGACAAAATAGCAACGGAAATAAATTCCGTCGGAAATCCGTTGGTAGTCACTGAGGGATTTCCGACGGAATTTAAACGAAATACTAGACTTGGGCGGATGAGATTCCGTCACTAGTTCGTAGGTATTTACCGACGGATTTACGATGGATCTGTCTAACTTTTGACATTTCGAGCAACATACGTCATTTTTTGTGCTTATTTTTTCTCACACGTATATTATACATCAATTTTTGTATATTTACGAAATTATAGCTAATATACATATACGATATCCGTGCGCACTATCGGAGCCCCGCTAAAGATCTTATGTTTTAACATCTAATACATATTAATACATGGGATCCTGATGGTGTATTGTATGTATTAAATTTACTATAATTTGTTCAATGTGTATTAATTGGTGTAAAACAAAGGTGTAATAAAATTTATAGCGATAAAAACCATGTTTGGTCCCCGTAAACTTGAAAATTAGAATTGAAACGTAGGTCTCGAAGGTGTATATGGGTGTATGTATGTGTATTTTAGCTATAACTTATAAAATATGTAGTTATTGATGTATTATATGTGTGTGAGAAAAATAAATCGGAAAAAACGACGTATGGTGCTCGAAAAGTCGGAAATTAGAAAAGATCCGTCGGTAATTACCGACGGATTAGCGACGGCTCACGAATTTCCGTCGCTAATCCGTCGGTATTTACCGACGGATTTCTGACGGACCTGTCTAACTTTCGACATAGGCGGGAAGACTGGGAGGCACACAGGCGGGAGCATTGGAAATGCTGACCATCGCAGGAAACTGGTAAATAATTGAAGTTATAAAGCTTACTAATCTACTTATCTTAACATTAACTACAACTATATTGTGTCGTTTATGTAGAAAGAAGCAACATGTAAAGATCCATCATGGTTGGATCTGTTTATGAAGACCCGTCTTGATAAGGAATCAAAGAAAAGATATTTTGAAGGTGATCGTTCCAATTTGCACTTTTGCTCAGAGACTGCACGTCAAGCACATGTAAGTTAACTTTATCATTTCTATATTTTGATAGTCTCAATTTTTGTTATAATCACAATAATGTTATTTTGGTAAATTATAGGAGTCATATATGAGGGGACTGAGTGAGAAATATGGAGATGATCCCACAAAGCATGTGCACGATGTTGATGTATGGAACATGTCACAGTTGTAGAGACAGAAAGGGACCCACAAGGGTCGTATGTATGGGATTGGGACTGCCGATAGTCAGTTTTTGTTTACGGGGTCACTATCTGTGGGGGGTGACAGCTCACATTATGTGCAAGATGAAGAGGTATGTTCTTTTTATTAGTACATTACTATAATGAATAAAAAGTATAGTATGTTATTATTAGTACATTGCTATAATGGGTAAAAAGTGTAGTGTGTTGTTATTATGAGTACTTTGATTACTATAATGGGTAAAAAAGTCAAAATATGTTGTTATTTTGTATATGTTTCTATAATGGATAAAAGGTATAGTATATTGTTATTATGAGTATTTGATTACTATAATGGGTAAAAAAGTCGAAGTATGTTGTTATTATGAATACGTTGCTATAATGGACAAAAAGTATAGTATGTTGTTATTATGGATTAAATTGATTGCTATAATGGATAAAAAAAACTCAAAGTAAGTTGTTATTATGAGTACGTTGATATAATGGACAAAAAGTATAGCATGTTATAATGAGTACTTTGATTGCTATAATGGATAAAAAATGAAAATATGTTGTTATTAAAGTACATTGCTATAATGGTTTTATTAATTATTTATGTTTGTCTTACCATTTTTAGGTAGAAAGATTGCGCAATGAAATGGCTAGCATGCGGGAAGCTGAAGCACAAAGGGAAGCACGAGATGCACAAAGGGAATTGGAAATGGAGGAGATGCGAAAAAAGCATGCCTTGCTTGAAGCACAAATGACGGATTTTTTCAAGCAAAACAATTTCTCCGGAAATCCACCACAAAGAAACTAGTTTATGTTTCTAATCTAAAATATTGGTAATCATATTTTGTGACACTTTTTAGTTATGTTCAAACAATTGGTAATCACATCCGAAGTATGATGTTTAATTAGGTATTTTGGAATACTAATTAGTGTCTTGTTAGACGGTTATTAAATATGGTAATCGTATGTGGTGTGATCATATTTTGTAACACTTCATCGTATTTCTTTTTTATGTATTCACTTCAGTTTACTTTTTGCATTTATGTGGATAAAAATTGGATTTTTTTTAATTATTTTTTCTTTTTAAAAAAATCATTTTACCGACGGAGTAGTGACTGAATAGTCACAAACGAAAAGTAAGAACATCCGTCAGAAATCCGTCACAAAAAACAATCCATCAGTAACCCGTTACTTATGATTCCGTCGGTAATCCGTCACTTACGGTTCTGTTGGTAAACCGTCACTTATTGTTCCGTCGGTAATCCGTCACTAAAACTATCCGTCGGTAATTAACGTTCCGTCGGTAATCCGTGACTAAAACTATCCGTCGGTAATCCGTTACAAAGAAGTTTCCGTCGGTAATCCGTCACAAACAGTATCCGTTGGTACTCCGTCGTTATTGCGTCGTTAATTTGGTCAAAGAGGTCCGACAAATGGACGTCGCTGTCCGTCGGAAATTCCATCGGTATTCCGTCACAAATAATTACCCACAGGGATTTTTACGACAGAACGAATTCCGTCGGAAAACTTGTTTAGCAACGGATTTCCGACGGATATGGCCGTCGGAAATCGTCTAGTTTTCTAGTAGTGATCATTCGACTCGTACTTGTTAGCCTACTAAATTTCATAATTTTGCTTGCTTGTTATTAAATTTCTTTTCATTTCATTTTTTTTTTTCAAAATGTCTGTCATATGAACCCAATTCCTATAGGGAGGTTTTTTTGTAATCCTTCTTGGTAGGATGTTATGGTTGATGAACTTCCTTCTCTTTATCAAAACATATTATTTAGTTCTCTTACCACCTGAAGACATATTATTGGCTGGAATGAGTCTGACATTATAATTAAATTTGACGGGTCCATTTATCACTACAAGGCTAATTTGCTACTAAGGGGTATTAAAAAAACATTTGTATTGGTTGAAAAAATGAGTTATGTGTGTACTATAATTGCGATTGCTTCTGTTTTTCGGTGAACATTTTATCAAATAGATGTCAAGAATCTATTCTTGAATGGTGTCATTCATGAAGAAGTTTACATGACAATTTTTATGTATTTCTTATCATGTGAAGTTTAACGGTTTCATAAAGCTCTTCATGGTCCTCGTGCTTGGTTTTAGAAATTATCCATGTTAAATGAACGCCTCTATTGATCATCTTCATAGTAATCATGATGGGAATCATTTTTCTATGAAAGGATTGAATAAAATACGTTAATTTTGATGGAGATTAGTGTTCATAGTGATAACAAACCCGATGATATCACTATAAATAATAGTGTCTTTTTGGGTTACATACAAGAGCAAAAATAAATAAGAACTGAAAAGATTTTTATATTAAGAACTTGTTTCGTTAATTAATTAGAAAATAAATGAATTTAGAATATTCCATAATGATTTGAAAAGTCAAGATAATTATAAATATATTTGGTAATTAAATTTAGGGTTTCAAATCATTTTCCTATGTAAAGAGGGGTCAAAATCCGGTTTTGGTACATGTGAAAAATATCTTTCTACCTCCAAAGTTCGGAACCTAAAGGAAAACCCTAGAATTGACGGAGCCCGTCCCCACATTGTGTTCAATCGCGATTCATTTTAATCGAGTCTTTCTGTTGTTGGTGTTCAAGGATGTTTCAAATTTGTGAAGTTTTTCGTAACACCTGCTTTCGGGTCATTTCTTAATTCAGGGTTGTGGGTCAAAATTTGATCATTAAAAGGCTTTAGGCTTATGGAAGTAAATCTTAGACCATACTGAAGGATTCGTAATGTTGGTTATTATATAAAACAAAAGTTGTTTCTTTTATTTTTATAAAAGAATGGGTGATTTTTATAAAAAGTACGGTAAAAATGATGTATATTTACTTAATTTGAATCATTTAAATTCAAATTATTAGCATAAAAAAATAATAACACATTACACGAAAGTTAGAATAATTCCTAATTATTTTCGTTAACGTTTGAGTGTTTAAGCCGAGTATAGAATCTGTCGCATTTTGTGATGAATTCACAAAAAATCTGTATATGTAACATTTCTTATGAATTTGTTATTTAGTATAAGGTTTATGAACTCAAATACATTGTGTTATGAATATTATTTATACCTAAATAATATAAAATTGAATTATCAAAATTTTAAGTTACTAACCCTAATTAGGGTTTGTATTCAATAATTGCAACAAGAGAGGTGCTTTGCATTATAACTCGTCAATAGTACATTAGTAACATTAGAGAATATTACATTTTTCCTAAAATTCTAATACGAGTTGAGTTGACCTGGTTGACTTTCGTTTACTTTGTTTGACTAAAATTGACGGTTGTCAGATAATGTATTTTTAGATTTACTCCAAAACACAATTTATTATTGTTTTTATACTAAAAAAAACAACATACATAAAAGCGACAAATATATTAAACAATACATTGTCGGTCAAAAAAAAAAATTGCAAAATTGGAACTAATTCTTAGTAGTACTTATCAACACATTGTGTCTTATTTTTAATATGATATGTTTCCGGAATAAATAACCGTTAAATTAAAACTAATCATTATCTGTCAAAAGTTAACTAATTGCCTAAAACTACTATTAACATATGTTGTTTGGCGTGGGTAAATAGCTAGTGTGTGTGTGTGTGTGTATATATATATATATGTGTGTGTGTGTGTGTCTATATATATATATATATATATATATATATATATATATATATATATATATATATATATATATATAAGGTTGTATAACTCGATACTCGGTACCTGTTCGGCCGACTGCCGAGTAGCGAGTACTCGAGAGAGTACTCAGGAGTACTTGTGTTATACTCGGATTTGGTAGTTCAAGTAATAATATTTTTAGGGAAATTATATATGTAAAAATAATAAGTTAAAGTCATAAATTGATTGAAATGTATAACAAAATTAGATACATGTAGATACACAAAAACAGAAAAACACACAATGGTCTGACTTCGTGATATATATATATATATATATATATATATATATATATATATATATATATATATATATATATATATATATATATATATATATATGGGAAAAGTGAATATACCCTTAAGGGTATATAAGCTTAGGTACCTAAAGTCACCATACTATGTTGTTTGTATCATATGTATACATTGTAATTGTCAAATGTTCTTATAATTCAACTTCTAACTTGATTTACTTCTAAGATTTTTATAAATTTCACATTTATCTTACTCTTATATAATTTTCATTTTCAACTCTAATATATATAACCTAATAGGTGTTCGGCAAAAAGAAGTGATATAAGAGGAAAACAATAGTGAAATTTCGAAAATATTCAAAGTAAATCAAGTTAAGGTTGAAGTTTAATAACATTATAATTAATATATCAAATAAAACAAATAATTATAATGGGTTTGGGTACCTAAGCTTATATACATACATATATATATATATAATTTAAGTGTGTAAAGTCTAAACTAATTGTCATTAAATATGTGGGCAAACTAATTGTAAATGTATAAATTACTGTAACCTTCTAATGTAAATTCAAAAAAATACGTTAACTATAACAATTGAACTCGGGACATGCCACCACAAAGCAGGTAGCCCCATTTTCAATTAGTCTATGATCATGTTTGTTTAAAATACAGACTACTTATATATAATTATTAACGTACACCTTTTTGGGGCCCCAATCCAATGATTGGCCTTGGACCGTCGCCCAGCTTGTCCACCCCCATAGGCCGGACCTGGTTAGGGGTGTCTAACTTTTAGATTTTGACTTATTACTAGTATGACGCCTTGATAAGTTACTCTTATCCAAACACCCGTTTTATTTTATAACGTTATAGATCCTTAATAAATTAAAAACAAAATTAAATAAGCTTAGCCAAACCCTCTTTACTTCTGGTCAAGGGTCAAGAGGATGCTTTGGTAAGAGAAATCCTACAAAAATATATACATGCTAATTATGGGTAAATATTAGAAAGGAGTGCTTAGAAAAATTGATACAACAATGTAAAAGAAAATGGAATAAACACGTAGATTAATATGTATTTTTAAGATCTAGAGATTAAAGATATACAACAGATGAAATGTCACAATCTTGTAGTATTTGCTTCCTTTTTTCCTACTGACAACTTCAAGTAAAACAAGAAACTACTGCCATCCACTTCGTGGAAGCACATTTTCTCAACCAAAAGTGGTAAACAATAATCATAGAAAAATAAATGAAAAACTTGTTATTACAATCTCTCATTTAACATGATAATTTCGACGAATTTATACCTAACTTAATTAATCAGGACTGCATATTATTTATAACGAAACAAATGAATAAAAAAGAAGTCAAAATGAAAACTGGTTTAAGGGGTCGAAGGACTTTAAAGTTGCCTAAACTAAACGAAAATCATAACTCTAAATCGATTTATTGAAAGAATTAGAGTATTATTCAGATAATCGGAAGTAATTTAGGAGTGAGTGGGCATCCGACCAAATTGATTACAACTGGAACCTAAACAAACCCTCATGTAATTACCCAAATTTTCATTTTTTTTTTCATTTTTAATTAATCAAACACAATTGCATAAATTATGAAATCCCAACACAATTGTTTTCAAATCCACATTCATTACAATTTTGTTTTAAAAATATCAGAGTCCCCAAACCATATCAGTGAAAGAGAGATAGAGTGCACACCGTGTAATCACGCATTGCCCTTGCCCTTGGGCTCATATGTACCTAAAACAAATCAACAACCTGTAAGCGAAATGCTTAGTGAGTTCCCCAGAACATACCACACACAATCCACGTACACATATCTTGTTAGCTATTAAAGCTACATATATCACATAAGTCATGCATACATAAAACCTGTAAGAA